TGTTACCTGGCACAATAGTTTCAATGGCAAATGATTCTCTGTCCGATATGTTTGGGGCCACTTTCACACCTTTCTCAGGGATGGAACGACCCGCCGCTACGAACGACACACGCAGCGATCTGCCGCTAGATGTTCAACAATGGGCCGCCATAGCATCAGCAGTGAGTCTATGGCAAAGTTGTCGGCGAATGGTTTTACCAACATGCAGCTCATTCGTCTGATCGCCCGAGAAGACATTGATGCGATGGTTATTGAGCCTCTAGCCCAACGACGACTATTTATTTTTGCTATACAAAATCTTCGTCCGGCGGCATCGACAAATGGACAACTTCCTGCTATTAATCCGAACAACCAACAACAGCAGAGTCCATCCGGGAACCCACAGGTCAGCGCCACCAACGGTGAAGAATCCAATATGGCTTCCAGCTCTCAAAACGTCAACATTTGCTTACGGACCCAGCAGCACAAGAAGCAGGACAATTTCATCCGTTATTGAACATTGCACCAACTTTTAACACAAACTCTTTGTCAAATAACTTTTCAAATAACCCGTTTGCCACTAATGTTTCACGAACGGACCTGGACCCACTCGTCCGTATGCAAACGCGCAAAGGTGAGAAATTTTTCGACATTATTGATTTTTTACCCACCGCCGATACTCATGTTTCGGACCCGCAAGTGATCGGTTCGGGGGAGGACGGATTCGCCTTGTTCTGGAAACGGGGCCCAAAAAGGGTCGCCTGGAAAATGTTACGCCATGCCAATGGATTGGGGCAAATGCCCGCATAATGTATGAATTAATTCAAACTGGCCTTTTGAAAAATAATAATGTTTTAAATTACCTGGCATATACGGATAAAATTTCCTCATTAGCATGTCGCTATACTTGGCTTTCAGTACTGCAGTTTGATCGTCAATACCGGCAATTTCAAGCAACACACAAATTTCCATGGGGTAACTGATATCCCCCATTTGGTTACTGTTTTTCTGCGAGAAAAGCAACAGTCTCTTCCCTCTACCCAGAAATTTGTAGGGTCATCAACGAAATCGGGGGTTTCTCTGGCTGCTAACCGTCCACCTGCCCCAATTGATAATCAGTCAGGTAGACCAATCTGTCTGAATTTTAATAGGGGTAACTGCAAATTTCACAATTGCACTTATGCTCATGTATGTCTGGAGCAAGGTTGCCGGAAAAACCACCCCAAAACACAGCATGATGCAAACCTGGCTCAACTCTCAAAAAACTAGTTGCGCAGGGATTACCAGCTTCCCCTTTACCTCACTCACCATGCTCCATAATTGCATCTCCACTGAAAATTTCAGTGTGGCAGCGCGAACTTCAAGAGGACCCTGATGCAGCATTTTTGCTTGAAGGAATCCATCAGGGTTTCCGCATCACGGATAAAAACTCTGTATTAAAAAATGTCCATATGGGCAATTATAAATCTGCTACCGGTGAGGCCAGGGGGAAGGTGGAATCCCAGATTTTGTCAGAATTAGCTGAGGGGAATTATGGCACTTCCCCCCACAAACCAACCATTGTCAGTGCCTTGGGGGCTATCCCCAAACCCAATTCGAATGACATCAGGCTGATCCATGACTGCAGTCAGCCACTAGGGTCAGCAGTCAATGACTATGCCTCTCATGAGCCATTCAGATATCAAACTATCGATGAGGCAACAAAGATGATCTCCCAGGGGAATTTTCTGGCCAAGGTTGACCTCAAGGCTGCCTACCGTTCTGTGCCCCTGCACCCCTCCAATTATTCGGCAACAGGACTGCAATGGACTTTTGCTGGGGACACAGAACCCACTTATCTTGTGGATAAACGTCTCCCATTCGGTGCCAAGCTATCGCCAGAAATTTTTCACAGATTGACACAGAGTGTACGGCGTATGATGGCTCGCCGCGGTTTTAATGCGATGGTGGTCTACCTAGATGATTTTCTCATCATCGCCCCTGACTACCAGTCACGTCAAGTCGCCCTTAACACCCTCCTGTCACTCCTACGACAGTTGGGTTTTAGTATTGCATGGGGGAA